CTAAAATCTACTACCAGGCCAACCCGACCGTTCTTCACCATCCCACCGATATCGACTATTGTGGGAATCGTACATGGTGAAGTTCTCCTGGGCTCGGTGCGAGCAGTTCGAGTTTTCATTCGACGCTCCAAGACAAGGCGTGGTTCGTCCACGACAGAAGTTAGTCGCATAATCGCAAACACCATATCTATATGGTTACGCGCAGTAATCCTTCAGGCCTACGAGATCATCAAACGGAACTCGCCGAGAGCGAATTACCCTCAAGATCTCAAGATGTCAGCCTTACCAGGGCTCAACACGGCAATTGTGGTTTTGGAACAATCATGGAAGGATATTTCTGGAGATTCGACACATATTTTCGTTAGTCATAACCTTCGCGTTGTGACTCTCGAGGATGTCGAAGACGTTCGAAGTTTGGCCCTCTGGTTGTTATCCTGCAGATTGCCAACCACTGATGCAAATAATGAACTCGCCCTATACAGAGCCAGTCAACTTCCATGTGCAGTCACTCAGTCGCCACCAGTGGAAGAATATTAGACAATCTTGTTTGTCAGCGTCGGCTCTATGACGCAGTAAGTAAAGAATTAGCTGAATAGCTATTATTTTCTTTATTACTAAGCGTGTATAGGGAATTTCTCTTTAATTCCTATGTTCAATCTTTTTGATTTTTGAACATCCCTACCGTAATGGCGTTTTTGTCTGAACTTTTCCGCTTCACGGTTTATCGACCAAATGGGGTCGTATTGCAGGGTGTGAATTATTGAGGTTTCTGTATTCTGAAGGTTTACCCACCTCCAAACCGTCCGATACAGATGCATTAAGGAGTAATGCAGGATAAGTAAAAAATTTAGTAAAATCTAAATATTTTTTACATTTGTATACTTATCCTGCATTACTACGCTTAAGGCCCACCCGTCGTTAGACTTGCCTCCCCACTTTGGCTTCAGAAACCTCAAAAGTATGTTTTTCTAAGAGCTTGGGCGACAGGCAGTGATGTGAAGATGACCTTAGGTGTCATCAAGGTCACAGGACAGCGACGGAAGGCCACTGATTGGGACTTGAGAACAACAACTTTATTTCTTCACCCAGGACCTTCGCAGCGCTGTCCTTCTAGTTGTCGTAAGTAAGCAGTGAATGCATTAAGGAGTAATGCAGGATAAGTATACAAATGTAAAAAATATTTCGATTTTACTAATTTTATGTAATCCTAATTTCCAATTGAAACATGAAGTGGGGTTGTGTGGACTTACTAACTACCACATTCCCACGCTTCTATAGAGGCACAATCAGTCACTGTGTTAATTTAAAAAAATATTTTGTCAAGGGCACCGTTCCACAAAGCCATCTTAGCGCTACGACTATCGTAAGCCAGTGTTAAAGTACGAGAGTTACGATCACCTTAGCGCTAAGATATCTTTGTGGAACAGGGCCCAGATAGGGGTAAAACATTCATCTACTGGAAAAAATCATTATTTCTATGTTAATGTGCTAATTATTTTGCAAACGGTTAAAAACATTTAGACATTTGAGTTTCAGTTTCTTAATGCAGGGAGAATCCATTTCTGATGTCATACAGTGCTGTGACATTATGCAACAAGGTTACAATGCATACGCATCAAAATACAAAGAACCTTGTGGCATGACTCTCAGACGCTTTTGCTGATTGTTGTATGGGAATATTTCATGTTTTGTGAGATCAATGACGCTGTATCTTTGACAATTGGCCTTGTGTCTGTGATCCTCAGCAGCATCCCTTCATTTTGGCGATAGATTGACAAAACATATGTCATTAAGTGACTCCCGATTCACACAAGATGGCATTACAACACAACACAACACCCTACAAGGGGGGGCACGGGTGGCCCAGTCGTCTAAGGCGCCTCGATTCGCTTCGCAGAGTTACGTCCCTTGGGCAGGCCAGAAACCTATGATTGTGGGTTCAAATTCCGGTTCGCCCCAATTATGTTTCTAGGTTTGTCAGCACCATATCTGTGCTCGTAGGTTTCACCAAAGTGGTAAACGTCTTAGACCTGCATCACTTCGGGCTTTCCTCCCACATTAAGCTGACACGCCGTGATTTAACTGGAATAATGTTAAAAGTGGCGTTAAACCCGACTCACTCACTCACTCACTCAACATCCTACAAGCAGACATCCTTAAAGCCTTTCATTGACCCATTGTATTACTATACATATTTGATATGGATATTTTTACCTTCCACGATACACAAGACGGATTCTCATTATATGTCAACGGTCATTTTAATTAGAATGACATATGTGATTGTCCCTATCAAAAGTTGAGTAGTGTATATATTTGTTGGGTTGGGTATGGTACAAGCTGTTCTCATGAAGTGTTGTCTCAGTAGAAGCTATGATGTGATATATATTCTGCATGATCTGTATCTCATAATATAACGTCCAAACATTGTGTATCTGGTCTAACAACCCATCAAGTGTTCATGTGATTCCAGCTGTTATTTAGAGATTTGTGACATTGTTGAGCAAGGATTCTGGACTTTAGTTTGGTACAGATCCTTCTGGAGAGATACTACTCCACTTTTGATAGGGACATTCTTTCTATGATACACAAACCTGATTCTCATAATGTGTCAAGTGTATATTTAAACAATCTCATTAAAATAAGACCTCAGTTCTCGCTACCGCTAAACAAAGATCTGAGGACATCCCATTAGGGGTCACATCAGAACGACCTTTCATCCAACCAACCAGAGCATCGCTTACCAGATTATGAAAGTGACAGTCGAAATGTGATTTCTGATCATGTAGCCTCAAAAACTTTAACTCTGAATGATAGTTACAGGTTTAACGACTGTATCCATACAATCTAGACCATCTATTAGCCATTCCAGAGTGTTCTTTTGTTCAGGTTTCAAATTTGTAATCGAGAATTTGTCAAATTATGTTTCGAAGTGTAGTCGCCAATTTGAAATTAGTGCTGTAAAGCACGAGAAAGCTGCCTTCTGATTGGTCATTCCATTGGTCGGTCAAAGTTCGCGCAAGGTCGGTCTGACGTGACCCGTAATGGGATGTCCTCAGATCTTTGTTTAGCGGTAGCGAGAACTAAGATCTGATTTTAATGAGATTGATATTTAAATAGAATAACATATCTGATTCCCTATCAAAAGTTGAGTAGTATATATCATAAGATGTTAGATATTGGAATGAATCTCCCTGATTAAAAGTTTCTGAGCCTTAAAGACATTTTTTTTATCCAAAAAAACTAATTGAAAGTATGTTCTTTTCAACATTGAGCAGTAACATGGTGCTGTTTGGTTCTACAACATTATGTAAATTTGGTATACGACATACGATTAAATTTCTTGTTTCACATATCTTATTGATCTAAAGGCATAAAGACAGGAGATGAAATGAAATATGTTGTCATGGTTGATTTTATATATAAATTAAAACAAAAAGATGTTTAGAAAAGGTATATTTTCAATTACACTCTGTTATTTTGCAAAGTTTAGTGTAAAATCATCCATAAAAAAATGTCAGTTTGAAATTGCAGTACCGTATTCGACGTAGTAAGCGCCCCGCTCTAATTAGCGCCCACGGCGATATTTTTCTAATGTATTGGTAAGTGAACAATCCCAATTAGCACCCCTTTCGATTGATCAATGTACACAAGACTTATTTATTCATGTATAATACACACTCATGTGTTATATGCACCCTTAATTATGGGCAATTAAATTCTGGAAAAATATATCTGTCGTATATAAACATTTCAGGCCGTCAGCAGAAACCACTAAATTTATCTTTCAACTCTGTTTTTTCCACCAAAATAATATTCTAATAAGAGCCCCCTAGTTCTAATTTTGAGAGCGCCCTGGGCGCTTATTACTTCGAATACGGTATATCAATCTCAGTTTCATTAACCTTAAGTAATGTATTTGTATTAAATATATGTACCATATTAAATACAGTTGGAAGAATTGCATTGCTTCGCATTACATATACCATGGTAACTTGTAGTAAATTCACTACGTGACCAAGGGGCAAGAAGGCACCGTCTGAAACATTGTTGCAAATAATAAAGAAGTTGTTTTCCAAAAAAGCTCTATGTATTCATGTTTTGCCAACTACCAAAGACTTGATCAAGGGGGTTAGGCTATGGGTTCTGATGAATCATTGGTGAATCAGAATAATAAGTGCAAGTGTTAATGTGTCAGGCATTATTGGAATTTTGAATTAGTTTAGAGTGAATTTTTTGTTTGTAGATATGGGATTTCAACTATCAACTTTCTTTGATACATTGATTCTTGATCTGACGGGGGGGAAACATACATTATTTTTGGTGACGAGAAACTCATATATTGACGTTATGATCTCAACGGATACTGTTTTTATCTGTTTTTTTGACTGTATTTCTATATCTCCAAAGTTACCCAAACTTATGAAATGCCTCACCTTTGTGGTCTGATCTTTGGTATCTTAGACTATTATTTTGATAATGATAACAATTTTTCCAGTGATTTGTCCAGATCCCGATAGTCATCCGACTCGATCGCCGATAGACAATGGCATTGCCATGTTTATTTGTAAACACTGAAAGTAGTAGCTGGCTGACCTATTATGTTGATGTATATCTGTATATGACCCCAACGAGTACAGTTTTTATCCGTTGGCTGTATCATAACGAGAAACCTACCTATATGAAAAATAATTTTATATTTCAATGATGTTGATTTTTAAGATGTCTCTTGCTCATGGCATACTATTGTCTAGTTTTGTTAGTATTTGAGTTTATTTTAACCAATGTACATAAAACTAAAAACAAAATTAGAATATTTTATTGCCTAGACATTTGTTATATATAGCTTTGATTGTTATACAATATACACATGCACAGTTATTCACTTTTGTTACGTTTACAAAACATCTGAGTTTACAGAGTTATCTTGCTGTTTCCTTCACTAAGAGGGATGTGTATTTGTGTTAGTGCACAGAGTGGGTCATGTCTTGTTATTTACGCTACCATCTACAAGGGGCCTTAGCATGAGGACTGTGGACTTCTGGGAGGTTGCTGGGAGTTCCTTTGGACTCCTGGGGACCTGAGTGCTGGGGTTTGCTGTGGACTCCTGGGGCCTGTGTGCTGGGGTTTGCTGTGGACTCCTTGGGACCTGAGTGCTGGGGGTTGCTGTGGACTCCTGGGGCCTGAGTGCTGGGGGTTGCTGTGGACTCCTGGGGCCTGAGTGCTGGGGTTGCTGTGGACTCCTGGGGACCTGAGTGCTGGGGGTTATTATGGACTCCTGGGGCCTGTGTGCTGGGGTTGCTGTGGACTCCTGGGGACCTGAGTGCTGGGGGTTGCTGTGGACCTCTGGGGACCTGAGCGCTGGAGGTTACTATGGACACCTGGGGACCTGAGTGCTGGGGGTTACTATGGACTCCTGGGGCCTGTGTGCTGGGGTTGCTGTGGACTCCTGGGGACCTGAGTGCTGGGGGTTACTGTGGACCTCTGGGGACCTGAGCGCTGGGGGTTACTATGGACTCCTGGGGCCTGTGTGCTGGGTGTTGCTGTGGACTCCCAGGGCCTGAGTGCTGGGGGTTGCTATAAACTCTCAGGGCCTGAGTGTTGGGGGTTGCTCCGAACTCCCAGGACCTGTGTGCTGGGGGTTGCTATAAACTACCAGGGCCTTAGTGCTGGGGGTTGCTGTGGACCCCTGGGGCCTGTGTGCTGGGGGTTGCTATTAACTTCCAGGGCCTTAGTGCTGGGGGTTGCTATAAACTCCCAGGGCCTTAGTGCCAGGGGTTGTTGTGGACCTCTGGGGACCTTAGTGCTTGGGGTTACTATAAACTCCCAGGGCCTTAGTGCTGGGGGTTGCTATAAACTCCCAGGGCCTTTGTGCTTGGGGTTGCTATGAACTTCCAGGGCCTTAGTGCTGGGGGTTGCTATGAACTTCCAGGGCCTGAGTGCTGGGGGTTGCTGTGGACTCCCAGGGCCTGTGTGCTGGGGGTTATTATGGACTCCTGGGGCCTGTGTGCTGGGGTTGATGTGGACTCCTGGGGACCTGAGTGCTGGGGGTTGCTGTGGACCTCTGGGGACCTGAGCGCTGGAGGTTACTATGGACACCTGGGGACCTGAGTGCTGGGGGTTACTATGGACTCCTGGGGCCTGTGTGCTGGGGTTGCTGTGGACTCCTGGGGACCTGAGTGCTGGGGGTTACTGTGGACCTCTGGGGACCTGAGCGCTGGGGGTTACTATGGACTCCTGGGGCCTGTGTGCTGGGTGTTGCTGTGGACTCCTGGGGACCTGAGTGCTGGGGGTTGCTATAAACTCTCAGGGCCTGAGTGTTGGGGGTTGCTCCGAACTCCCAGGACCTGTGTGCTGGGGGTTGCTATAAACTACCAGGGCCTTAGTGCTGGGGGTTGCTGTGGACCCCTGGGGCCTGTGTGCTGGGGGTTGCTATTAACTTCCAGGGCCTTAGTGCTGGGGGTTGCTATAAACTCCCAGGGCCTTAGTGCCGGGGGTTGTTGTGGACCTCTGGGGACCTTAGTGCTTGGGGTTACTATGGACTCCCAGGGCCTGTGTGCTTGGGGTTGCTATGAACTCCTGGGGTCTGAGTGCTGGGGGTTGCTATAAACTCCCAGGGCCTTAGTGCTGGGGGTTGCTATAAACTCCCAGGGCCTTTGTGCTTGGGGTTGCTATGAACTTCCAGGGCCTTAGTGCAGGGGTTGCTATGAACTTCCAGGGCCTGAGTGCTGGGGGTTGCTGTGGACTCCCAGGGCCTGTGTGCTGGGGGTTGCTGTGGACTCCCAGGGCCTGTGTGCTGGGGGTTGCTGTGGACTCCCAGGGCCTGTGTGCTGGGGGTTGCTGTGGACTGCCAGGGCCTGAGTGCTGGGGGTTGCTGTGGACTCCCAGGGCCTGTGTGCTGGGGGTTGCTGTGGACTCCCAGGGCCTGTGTGCTCGGGGTTGCTGTGGACTCCTGGGGCCTGTTAGCTGGGGTTGCTGTGGACTCCTGGGGCCTGTGTTCTGGGGGTTGCTATGAACTCCCAGGGCCTGAGTGTTGGGGGTTGCTGTGGACTCCTGGGGCCTGTGTGCTGGGGGTTGCTATGAACTCCCAGGGCCTGTGTGCTGGGGGTTGCTGTGGACTCCTGGGGCCTGTGTGCTGGGGTTGCTGTGGACTCCTGGGGCCTGTGTGCTGGGGGTTGCTATGAACTCCCAGGGCCTGTGTGCTGGGGGTTGCTGTGGACTCCTGGGGCCTGTGTGCTGGGGGTTGCTGTGGACTCCTGGGGCCTGTGTGCTGGGGGTTGCTATAAACTCTCAGGGCCTGTGTGCTGGGGGTTGCTATGAACTCCCAGGGCCTGTGTGCTGGGGGTTGCTGTGGACTCCTGGGGCCTGTGTGCTGGGGGTTGCTGTGGACTCCTGGGGCCTGTGTGCTGGGGGTTGCTATAAACTCTCAGGGCCTGTGTGCTGGGGGTTGCTATGAACTCCCAGGGCCTGTGTGCTGGGGGTTGCTGTGGACTCCTGGGGCCTGTGTGCTGGGGGTTGCTGTGGACTCCTGGGGCCTGTGTGCTGGGGGTTGCTATAAACTCTCAGGGCCTGTGTGCTGGGGGTTGCTATGAACTCCCAGGGCCTGAGTGTTGGGGGTTGCCGTGGACTCCTGGGACTCGACTGCCTGGGGTTGCTGTGGCCCCCCAGGGCCTGGGGGTGGTCATATGGCAATAATAAGTCAACAATGTGATTTTCATCCTATTTTGGGAGGACAAATCAGTGGGGACCTTGATAGATACAGTTCCTTATTTTACAGATTTTGTCAATATGCCATGAGACAGATTCAGACATAATATAAAATTATGATTAAAATAAATTTAGTTTTCGAAACACTTTGTCATCAGGGTTTTGAATCAATCTGAATGTTGCCAAAAATCAGCAAAATGGTTGTGTAATATACTATTTAGAAAATATTCATGTAGATTCCAAGTTTTGTTATGTCCGTCTACACTTACATGAAACCTGTTGATTGTCCTAGAATAACAGGAATGGTCACAAATGATTTATTATTATGTATAGAGAATCATGCTTGTGTTATAAACACAAAGATATTGTATGTGTAAAACATGGTGTTGGGGTAGTGGTATATATTTAAGGAAACTCTGGTTTAGGCAAGAAGGTTTTGTTATTGCTTGTGACTGAGAAAGGTCTGGTTTTGATTCCTACTTGCAGAATTGTTATGGTGTGTCATAGTCACCTTTTACAGTTCATGGTTTTTGTGAATGTTATCATGTCATGTTGAAACAAATTACATTCAGTGAACCAATTACAATATTTAGCCTGGATCTTCAGAGATATGTTTTTCACATGATTTTATGTTGATGAAAGTAACATTGGGTGTTTGTTGAGAATCGCAAAACCAGTGAGAGTAAACTTGTTGCTGTGTTCTCTTTTGTTTTGTCTTTATTTGTTAGACCATTACTTCAACGTATCACGTCCATGAATGTGTCAAGTGAGTATGTCGGTGAGTATCCATAGCAGCTTGTCTGGATGGAAGGGAGAATCTCATTCATGGTTTCACATTACATTCTCCCATCAGCTGGGAGTGAAACTGACCCCCCCCCCCCCCCCCATGCACTGACCTCCCTCTCTGTTGTGATAGCATTGCACACTTTGGGTGACCCTTCATTCTATATAAGTGGGGGTGGGGGGTATATTGTTATTGGTATTGGGTCATCTTTCAGTATATGTAATGTAAATATTTCCTTTAACCCCAATTAAGGGGTTCTAGACACAATCTAATTACCATTTTCTGTACCATGGTTGTTTTGCCATGGTAATGATGATGTGAAGAGAGGCATTCTTCAAAAGATTAAACAGGTGAAGATACATTTGCGGGCAGAAACTAATATGCCTGCCAAGAATGCTGCCATCCTCAATCGTGTCTTGACGTACTACCTCCAAAACGATTGCCTGACTGTTTCAGAAGATCCACCCGTGACACACCTCAGAGCAGGAGCTGGGGACACTGATGACAGGTTTTTCGTCATATCCGAGTCATCCATGAAAGTGTGCCTAGATGTAGCAGAGCAGCATGGGCAGAAATGTTCAAGTAAACTGTCTCTGAAGCAGACCAACTACAAAGGTGCTGAACCATAATGACTCACTCACTCACTCATTGATAGATTGTGACATCTATTCTTGTAGCAGAAGCTCTTACTTAGATGGACCGCTTCAGTCCGTGAAAGGTAGGGATATAGCATCTGCACAGAGAGCTGAAGGCAGGGGTTTTGATCCCCAGACGCATCATACCAAAAGACCCGCAAAGATCCGGGAAGAGAATAGGTTCTTCAGCAACCCATGCCTGTTGTAAGAGGCGAGATCGTTGTCACTTGGTTGATGCTTATCATATCCTAATTGCGTAGATCGCTGAATCACTGAATTGTTCCAGTCCAGACTCAATTATTTACAGACTACCATCATAAAGCTGGAATATTGCTGAGTGCAGCATTAAACAACAAACAAACAAATCATGACACAAGATGTTAAATGACAGTACTTCTTGTTACCCTGGCTGGCGCTTGGCATTAGGGATTAAAACAAGAATCAGTATACTGTCGATAAAAAGAAGCGTCCCATGCTGTCAGGTAGTCCTGCCCGATGACTGGATTTTATGTATGTATATTTTTCATATTTTCTTTAAAGCCTAGACAAGTCTAGATCACACTAAACCAAGTCTAGATTCCTTGATTCCACAGTCATGTCAGTTTCGTAGGGGGACCAACAGAAATAGCTGTCAGTATTTTAATGGGAGTTTTATCTTATCGGAAAGAGAACTAAAAAAAAAAATGCCTTGTGCTTGTAAGGTGTAACTTGCCCCAACTTTTGGCACTGAAGACAGAGCTGCTTGGGTAGCAGTGGGGGAGAGATGGTGGGAGGGAGGGAGAGGGTACTCAGAGCTACACAGATAGGGATAGTCCTGCGCCATGACTGATGAAGATATATATACAAAAAAAATTAGTTTTAGTTTAGCCATCAGGGTACATGGGGATTTGTAGAATTTGCTAACCAATTTCTTATGCCGGGGATCGGGTAGCCTAGTGGTAAAAGCGTTTGTTCGTCACGCCGAAGACCCGATTTCGAATCCTCACATGGGTACAATGTGTGAAGCCCATTTCTGGGGTCCCCCGCCATAATATTGCTGGAATATTGCTAAAAGCGGCGTAAAACCATACTCACTCACTCACTTGTGCTGGGCAAAATACAAATATATACTCACAAAAAGAAACATGACCTGTGGAAACATAGAGAAGTATGTCAATTAAGAAGAGCTGTTTCCAATGTGTACCACTGAATGACATAACTAACAATCAGTCAAGTGTTATCCCAGAGTGACTTGATTCTTATCAGGATATGCTGCATGTGATTTCCAAACTTTACACTAATCCTGCACAAGACAAATGGTGCATCTCGAATCATGGATCTGTAACGTCACATGTGATGCAATCATGAGCTTCAGTTCACACAACATACCAGTATGTTTGTTTGTACATCAGACCGATCTAATATCTCTTAAATATGCGTAAGACTTCATATATTAAGCAACATGTATGGTATTTGCGTTTCTTTTGGCAGTGAGTATATTGGTGTAACCCAAATTTTAGCACCTGACTAAAAGATCAAAATTTCTTATTCAGAAACACGATAAAGAAATGAAGACAAATAATTTTAGAAAACTGACATCTGATAGCCCCCCCAAACCATGCATTCTTCTTTTAGATTTGGAGGTCAAAGTTTGCACAGAGTTCACCTGGTTCGACCTTCTATGGAGTGTTTGTCTGATCTGCATGCTGACAAAAAATTGGAGGGGTAATTTTTGTGACATCATGAAACATTACAAGTTCTTTGCACTTTGATTTCAATTCATTTCTTGAATTGTTAGAATAAATTTGCATAAATACATAGCTTCCTCATTGTCAACTCCATACTTGATAGAAAGGGAGAGTTGTGTACCAGTAAATGAATCTTCCATTGAACAGAAGAAGCCATGGCAACGAGACAAAGCGTGAAATAAACAGGTGCGAGGAGCAATATTTTTCCATGACCCTCCCATAGAGACTCTCACGACCCACCACCCCCAATATTGAATTACCCCATCCACCCCCACCCCTTGCACGAAACCTTGACAAATGTTACACACATCATACTTATAGGCCTATGTGTAGATCTGAAATAAAGTAGAGCTTGGTATTGGCTTTCTGTCACTAATTCGGCTACAAAACGTAGCACGATAAACCCTGACACGCACTGGGTCACATCAATGGGATGGTTGTCAAGGGCAACACAATAACAGCCATGTTCTCCTGCAAGACTGAACAGGCAATGCACGATATCGGGAGTACTGTGAGGTTGTCTGTTGCGACACGGAACTAAATCCTAACGAAATTCACGAGTCCAGGTGAGAATTTATATATTTTCTGTGAAATCACGGATTGCATGTTAACATATTGTTCTGCTTGATTGATCACCGAATCGTATTTTGTGAACCAACTAACATGTTGAATCCGGAGGTTTGTATTTTACGAAGAATTGAACAAAATTTAAAATATAATAACAATCCAAGCTAAATGGTAAAACATAACATCGTGAAATGCATTTTAGGAGAGAAATTTCCCCGAGTTTGAGCATCGGGGTCGGCTACAAGAGTTATTTCCCCTGTTCCATAGCGATCTCCGTGCTTTGACTTCCTAAACCTTGTGTTGGTTTGTTGTTTAACGCCGTACTCAGCAATATTCCAGCTTTTTGACGGCGGTCTGTAAATAATCGAGTCTGGACCAGACAATCCTGTAATTAATATCACGAGCATCGATCCATACAATTGGGATTCGATGACTTGCATCAACCTAGTCAGCGAGCCTAATCACCCGATCCCATCAGTCGCCTCTTTCGACAAGCATGGGTACCTATGAATACCTATTCTACCCCGTATCTTCACGGGTCTCAAGCTTATGAACAAGTTTATATACAAGTATGGGACTTTGTGATCATCTTAACGCTAATATCGCATTATGCCATTACGTGATTTGTCATTTCCGAAAATAATGGTTATATATTATTTAAATTTGAACGTAATAAAACAAGAGATGCTAACACGAGACACAAGGTTGAGATTCTATTCATCATCTAAAATCGTTTTTCCAACTTTTTTTAATTTGTAAACATAATTACCAGTGTCTCTAGTGTAACAAATACAGCCAACCAGCCTCAGCAGCAGAGAGATTAGTGATGTCATTTGATTGTGACGTCTTGTTAACGATGATGTCACAATGATCTGCAAATCATTGTGATGCAATTTCATGAATTATCCTGGGGAAGCTATTTTTGGATGATAAATATAGAATACTAAACGAGCTCCCGTGTAATACCAATTTTATGAAACGAGTGAATAGTTGTGGTATCTGACGAGCGAAAGCGAGTCAGATACCACAACTATTCACGAGTTTCATAAAATTGGTTTTACACGGGAGCGAGTTTAGTATTTTATTTATTACTTGCAATTTATAACGTTTTTTGAATTATACTGTTGAGTATGAATAGGCTGACACCTACATGATCCACGACATAGTCCAATTGAGTTTAACAGAATAATACTTCAAACACGTCAAAAGTTGAAACGTATGAATTTCATACCATACAACGGGTCTACCTTTAGAATTCACAAAATTATCGTAGGGCTAAGACTTTCGCATCTCACATACTTTAACTTAGACCAACGACTGTCGTTGCGCTACAATACGATCGCCTTGTGGAACGGGCCTTGCACCTGAAAGTTTTCAATAACGTCACAATACCCGATGACGTAATTTGTGGAATTTTGATGCAAGATCCATCGGCGAAACAATGCCATGTGACGTCAGCCTAGCAACAAGGTTGCTGGGGTCATCGAGTGTGCATAAGCTCCTCTCAGTGATCTATCAACTCCACACGCAATGTCGCTGAATAAGCCAAGAGATGTTGAGAGCTTTCAATATTTGTTCGTGAAACGTGTTCCGAGAGTACATAAGCACGCGTTTTGGTATTACACAATGTGTAATAAAGCTGTATGTTTATTAAACGGGTGATCTCTTCACGGGCAAGTAATAAATAGTGGTTATCACGCGCGAGTGTTTCGGGGTGGTAAATACCCTGTACCCTGTATTTTGATTGTGATAACAACTTTCCCAGTAATGTGTAATCCCCGGTGGTCAATCCGACTCGATCGGCGATAGACGAGGGCGACGCCATGTTTGTAAACACTGAATGCAGTACCTACCTAACCTTTTATATTAGCGTATTTATCCGTAAATGACCCCAATGGATATCGCTCTTATGCGTTGGCTTCAATCTCCCGAGGAATCCATTATAAGATAAACATATTATTTCACTCGAGTGTGATATCTGATTTATAGTTTTATATAAATACAGAATTTCGTCACTAAGTATCTTTAATAAATTACCGTATATAATTGTTGAAAGATGGGGTGTAATTGTTTCCGATATTTTCATAGTGCACTTGAGATATTCTCAGAGCTAATCGGTCAGTTTGTGCCATGGGACATCGAGAACATTATGTGGGAGGGCGCCATTCACGTTTGCTCATGACGTCCAAATTTGATACCTATTTTTTTAGAGAGTGAGTTTGGTTTTACGCCTCTTTTAGCAATATTCCAGCAATATCACGGCGGGGGACACCAGAAATGGGCTTCACACATTGTACCCATGTCGGGATTCGAACCCGGGCCTTCGGCGTGACGAGCGAACGCTTTAACCACTAGGCTACCCGACCGCCCCCCTTATTTTTTAAAAATTATCTCAGCAGGAAATGGGGTATGAAGTATGTTTGTAGGGTTAATATTTATGTTTGAGGGCATCCCTGTCCGGTATCCTGCAACTTCTGCTTGTCTCATGAGGCGACCAAGGGGATCGGGTGGCCAGGCTCGGTGACCTAATTGATTGCGGGTCGCGTGGGACTTCTCGTATTTAAACCCCGCGCCTTATTACGGAAATAACAGTTTCTCATTTAAAATATCTTATCCGAAATTAAGCCCAGGGTCAATTTCGGACGCTCGCGCTATCTTACCTAATAATAGGGGAAGACATTTGCAGAAAAAAAGAAGTTTAACTGAGAAAATATGATAGATTGATTTTACATTTGAACAGGAAGTAACATCATGGAATGCCCAACTTGAACTTCTTGTTGAATGTACATTAAGATTTGCCATGTGGAGTGAATCCCCAAGCATTAACTTTCGAAGGGGGTAAGGTATTAATTTAAGGAACACCACTCCAAAATTAGAAACTGAATCTAAGCCCACAGGCCTAAATACAGAACTATTTTCCGTTTTTAAGCCCTGGGGTGTAAACCCGCGTAGGCCCATATGCGGGAAGTCCCGACGGCGTGGAGTTTGTTCATTATATCAATCACTGGTTTATCTAGCCCAGACTCTAGCTATTATTGACAGGCCGCCGTCATATAGCTTGAGTATTAATGAGTGCGGCGTTAAACAACAAAGAAACAAACTTTACTTTCGTTCAATCATGGTGTGTAATATTTCAAGAATGTTTATCTCTTTGGATTAATTTTTTTAAAATACCAAAAATTCAATTTCTCTCATGTTTCCGATGAGATAAACTTGGCACTTGGATATTTGTTATAGTCTTTCTCTATGTCAGTGGCATTCCATGGAAAACTGTTGAGTACTGAATTTGTTTGTGAAGTGGCATCACTGAGATAGAGATATATCTAGTACCACCCCAGAAGATCCAGGTTAGATTTATCTTCAGCAACCCATGACTGTCTGAGAGTAGACTAAGGGGATCGTATGGTCAGGCTCGCTGACTTGTTTGATGCATATCATCACATCCCTATTGCTTAGATCGATGCTCATGATGTCGATCACTGGGTTGTTTGGTAGAGACTCGATTATTTACAGACCGCCGTCATATAGTTGGACTATTTCTGAGTGCAGCGTTAAACAACAAACAATTCTGCAGCGCAATATCAGAGATGTATCATTGGTCATTTCCTTCTCATATATCTGACCGCATTACCGGTTACCGTGAAAGATGGTTGACTCTCCATTAATTATTAGCTAAATTTGACATCGATAACTTATTCCGGGCTTAGTGCTGTTATTTGTAAATTCACTGTTTTACATTCGCTAGTATTTCAATAATCGGCATTTGTTCTTTTTTCCACAGCCGAATAAGCCAAATGCCTCACGTGATGAACGCGTCACATCGAGTTACCATAGAAACAGACTCAAACAAGGACCTCAGCTTCAAGGAGAAGGTGCGACGCCATTTTGCGAAAGGACGCCCAAAAGATGACAAAGCAAAATACATAACACGGACATTGTTTGTTTTCCAAGCCATTACTCAACTTCACGTATCGCTCAAGTTCCTCGTCCCCCATATATTTCAAGATTATGACCCTTGGACCCAGTATTACATCAAAGTGGGCGTCTGTTACCTCTGCATAAACGCCGTGGCCAACTGGCTCTGTGTCATGTTGTACGACACGTCGTTTCAAAGGACAAAGGATCGTCCCGAATACTATGTGGAAGCTGTTTGTGAGAATAACCCAGATCACTTTGTTGGTAGAATCGAAAGTCAGGACAAAAATGGCAATATACCCAGCAATTCGGACACGGATGATTGGTCGTCGTGGGATTATTGTACCATCTGCCAAATGTCCACTCCGCCACGTGCCCATCACTGTGACTACTGCAAGAAGTGTATTCTGAAACGAGACCACCACTGTTTCATGGTCGGGACCTGTATAGGCTTTAAGAACCAGCGTTATTTCATAATCCTTGCGTTTTACTCAACCGTTATAGGTCTTTTAGAAGGGTATTTCACAGGAAAGTATTTGTACGACGTATTTGTACCCAATTCCTGCTTCACGGACTTCTTTCTCCCGGTGACGTTTTACAGACTGATCTTTGGTAACATTGACATTCTGACCTTCCTGCTGATATTCCACTCCCATCTTTTAGTCCCGATGGGTTTAATTGCGTCCATCTATTTCGTAAGTCAAATGATAATTGTGTCTCAAGGTCTCACGATTTATGAAATCGCCAAAAAGGTGGCAGTCAAGTGCACTCGACCCGTCAGTGAAAACTTTCGAAGCGTTTTCGGAGACTTCTGGGGACTAAACTTCCTGTTTCCGGCGCAGATCATTTTTCGTCAGAGAGAAGATGGAAAATCCTGGGACGGCATGAAAATCATGAAGCGAACAAAGGTGGCGAAATCTTGATACAGTTGGCCTTAGATATAGTGCTTAGTACACCACTGATGTGAGTGAGTATGGTATTACGCCGCTTTTAGCAATATTCCAGCAAAATCACGGCGGGGGACACCGGAAAATGGGCTTCACACATTAAAAACATATGGGGAATCGAACCCGGGCCTTCGAGCCAACGCTTTAACCACTAAGCTACCCCACCGCCCCCAGAGAGAGAGAGAGAGAGAGAGAGAGAGAGAGAGAGAGAGAGAGAGAGAGAGAGAGAGAGAGAGAGAGAGAGAGAGAGAGAGAGAGAGAGAGAGAGAGAGAGAGAGAGAGAGAGAGAGAGAGAGAGACCAAACAAAACAGCATTTTGCGAAATAATGTTGACTGGTTTTGTGACCGTGGAACATAGCTCCTGATTGTGTCCGAAACTGAACGCAGTTTTAATTGAGAAAAATCATTTAAGAATCATAGATGGCGTTTCTTATTAAGGATTGACTGTGGATATATTTCGGTTCAATGAGGTCTGAATCGAAAAACCGATGTGCAAACTGTGATAATCCGCGTATCTGCATTGGTTTGTCAGCGCCATACCGGATTTCCCACCTGAATCTGACACGTCATGCTACAACTGAAATACTGTTGGAAGCACTCTGTCTCCATGACGTTTTAATTTTGAGACGCAACCGCAACTTTTGAAGGCAGCTAAACATTTTATTCTGTCATCTCCATTGCTCATGCCAAACAGTTTAGTTTCACATGTATGGTTGAATAAATAATGTCATCCCCTTGTTAGTTCAGTTCCTGTATGTTCGATATGAGTGTTGTGTTAACCAGGTGAGTGTTGTGTTAACCAGGTGAGTGTTGTGTTAACCAGGTCTCTTAATATAGAACAATAGTAATTCTTCTCGGTTTTAAGCTGCGCTCGACAGTATTTCAGTTAAATCACCACGTATCATGTTCTCACACACACGCACATGCACACACATACGCACGCACGCTTGGGCGGGCGCGGACACGCACACACACACACAAACACAAACACACACGACTCTTCTGTGCATGGTGTGATTGTGTTCAGGTGACCACGTGACAGAGTTGAACGCAAGTCTGTAGATGTCGATACACCAATGAAGGAGGGTATATTAACCGAACATGTATGTATAACATGGCTTTTGCGCAACGTGGAGATTTATGTGATATTCCAAAGATATTCGTCACGATATGGTTGAAATATTGCCGAAGTGACGTTAAACTTTAACTCACTCACTCACACGGGCCTTCAACGTGACGAGCGAACGCTTTAACCACTAGCCTACCCGACCGGCCCAAACGTCCGAAGGGCTGCATCCTCCCAGCTGTATGGCGGTGACCTGTACACTGTGTCAAGATGCAGCAGCTGTATAGCGGTAACATGTACACTGTGTCAAGATGCAGCAGCTGTATGGCGGTGACCTGTACTCTGTGTCAAGATGCAGCAGCTGTATGGCGGTTACCTGTAAACTGTATCTTGATGCAACAGCTGTATGGCGGTGACCTGTACGCTGTGTCAAGATGCAGCAGCTGTATGGCGGTGACCTGTACACTGTATCTTGATGCAGCAGCTATATGGCGGTGACCTGTACTCTTAGTCAAGATGCAGCAGCTGTATGGCGGTTACCTGTACACTGTGTCAAGATGCAGCAGCTGTATGGCGGTGACCTGTACACTGTGTCAAGATGCAGCAGCTATATGGCGGTGGCCTGTACACTGTGTCAAGATGCAGCAGGTGCATGGCGGTGACGTGTACTCTGTGTCATGATGCAGCAGCTGTATGGCGGTGACCTGTACACTGTGTCAAGATGCAGCAGCTGCATGGCGGTGACCTGTACACTGTGTCAAGATGCAGCAGCTGCATGGCGGTTACCTGTACACTGTGTCTTGATGAAGCAGCAGTAAGGCGGTCAACTGTACGCTGTGAGTGAGTGAGTGAGTGAGTTGGGTTTAACGCCGCTTTTAACAGTATTCCAGTTATATCACGGCGTGTCAGCTTACTGTGGGAGGAAAGCCCGAAGTGATGCAGGTCTCGGACGTTTACCACTTCGGTGAAACCCACGAGCACGGGTATGGTGCTGACAAACCTAGAAACATAATCGGGGCGAACCGGGATTCGAACCCACAATCATAGGTTTCTGGCGTGCCCAAGGGACGCAACTCTGCACAGCGAATCGCGGCGCCTTAGACGACTTGGCCACCCGTGCCCCCCTGTACGCTGTGTCATGATGCAGCAGCTGTATGGCGGTGACCTGTACACTGTGTCATGATGCAGCAGCTGTATGGCGGTGACCTGTACACTGTATCTTGATGCAGCAGCTATATGGCGGTGACCTGTACACTGTGTCAAGATGCAGCAGCTGCATGGCGGTGACGTGTACTCTGTGTCATGATGCAGCAGCTGTATGGCGGTGACCTGTACACTGTGTCAAGATGCAGCAGCTGCATGGCGGTGACCTGTACACTGTGTCAAGATGCAGCAGCTGCATGGCGGTGACCTGTACACTGTGTCAAGATGCAGCAGCTGCATGGCGGTGACGTGTACACTGTGCCTTGGTGCAGCAGCTGTATGGCGGTGACATGTACACAGTGAGTAAGTGAGCAGCAGTCTTGCAGTCTTGCAGCTATTCGTGGCGGCTCCACACTGTGTCTCTGATACGGATGTTTTATGGTGGTGACTGAACTGTGGACTATGAACCCAGTCAAACAGTATTTCTGTTATATCGCGGCTTGTCATGTTTAAGGTTATGGGTAATGCCCTACGACACGTTGACGAAACCCGCGAGCAAGCGTATGGTGCTGACATATCAAGGATCATTGTTAGGTTGAATCTGGGTTTTCGGGAATTCAAACTCTCAGCGCATTCTGGCGCGACAAAGAGATGTTACTCTCCACATCCGTGCCACCAACCCAGTGTTAAATTAGGGGGTACAGCACAATATCCTTGTAAGTGAGACAATCATGTGTAATTTAGAGTCCGTTCTACCCCTGAAATCCAGCATGAGGACAATTATTTTGTACTTTTTGTCAGTGGTCGGCAGTTTAACTCCTGAGAGCTTTCTTGGACTACAATCCTTCCCCTCGCCGAATCACTTGTAGCACATGTGATGTCTCCCTAGGCAAGTGACTTTGTTCGAAATATGCCGCTGGGCACACAGCAGTGAATGGGTACCCGGTAGGATGAGACTGTTAATCTTCTAGCACTTCACCAGGGAGCAGAGAAAGAAATTCGAATGTAAACTGATCCACTGACCGGAGTTTAATGAAGCCCCATAACCATTCATTTGTTGAATGGAATCGGGCGCACCTTTTATGGACTTTTTTTTATTTGTATTACTTTGTATCTATTGTAACGGATCCCTATCCACCATAATGCGAATCATAATGTACTTCGGACGGGTGAATGGTAAGCACACGAACGCGCGCACGCACAAACACATCTGGCGTTCTGAGGTCCTGTTCTCCTCGGATCCCTGAAGCGGTAACACGCCCGTCACAAGTTCTCACCACTATCTTCTCCCGATATGTCTCTATCTGTCACGTGGGATGTACAAGTCCAAATGGATAACGACCAATGGACGTGACTGTGCTAAACGTACCTGTAACACCATGCTCATTGTTTCGAATGATATAACAAGACTTTGATAGTTGAGATTCGTGGATGTTTCATTTTCAGCATGGAGGAGGAACGGAGGCCTCTGCTTCAGAGACAGGTATCTTCGGATGACAAAGAATCTGGTAAGGGCACGGCGTAATATCAAACACGTGGTTGCGTATATGCAGTTAACTGTACTCTTCGTATCACATACCAGTCATCCGTTACTGTAATCTTCGTATCACATCCCAGTCATCCGTTACTGTAATCTTCGTATCACATACCAGTCATCCGTTACTGTACTCTTCGGATCACATCCCAGTCATCCGTTACTGTAATCTTCGTATCACATACCAGTCATCCGTTACTGTACTCTTCGGATCACATCCCAGTCATCCGTTACTGTAATCTTCGTATCACATCCCAGTCAACCGTTACTGTAATCTTCGCATCACATACCAGTCATCCCTTACTGTACTCTTCGTATCACATACCAGTCATCCGTTACTGTACTCTTCGTATCACATACCAGTCATCCGTTACTGTAGTTTTCCCATCACACACCAGTCATCCCTTACTGTACTCTTTGTATCACATCCAAGTCATCCCTTACTGTACTCTTTGTATCACATCCCAGTCATCCGTTACTGTACTCTTCGTATCACATACCAGTCATCCGTTACTGTAATCTTCGTATCACATCCAAGTCATCCGTTACTGTACTCTTCGTATCACATACCAGTCATCCGTTACTGTACTCTGCGTATCACATCCCAGTCATCCGTTACTGTACTCTGCGTATCACATCCCAGTCATCCGTTACTGTACTCTTCGTATCACATACCAGTCATCCGTTACTGTAGTTTTCCCATCACACACCAGTCATCCCTTACTGTACTCTTTGTATCACATCCAAGTCATCCCTTACTGTACTCTTTGTATCACATCCCAGTCATCCGTTACTGTACTCTTCGTATCACATACCAGTCATCCGTTACTGTAATCTTCGTATCACATCCAAGTCATCCGTTACTGTACTCTTCGTATCACATACCAGTCATCCGTTACTGTACTCTGCGTATCACATCCCAGTCATCCGTTACTGTACTCTTCGTATCACATCCCAGTCATCCGTTACTATACTCTTTGTATCACATCCCAGTCATCCGTTACAGTAATCTTTGTATCACATCCCAGTCATCCGTTACAGTATTCTTTGTATCACATACCAGTCATCCGTTACTGTAAATTTCGTATCACATCCCAGTCATCCGTTACAGTAATCTTTGTATCACATCCCAGTCATCCGTTACAGTATTCTTTGTATCACATACCAGTCATCCGTTACTGTAAATTTCGTATCACATCCAAGTCATCCGTTACTGTACTCTTCGCATCACATACCAGTCATCCGTTACTGTACTCTTCGGATCACATACCAGTCATCCGTTACTGTAATCTTCGTATCACATACCAGTCATCCGTTACTGTACTCTTCGGATCACATCCCAGTCATCCGTTACTGTAATCTTCGTATCACATCCCAGTCATCCGTTACTGTAATCTTCGCATCACATACCAGTCATCCGTTACTGTACTCTTCGTATCACATACCAGTCATCCGTTACTGTACTCTTCGTATCACATACCAGTCATCCGTTACTGTAGTTTTCCCATCACACACCAGTCATCCCTTACTGTACTCTTTGTATCACATCCCAGTCATCCGTTACTGTACTCTTCGTATCACATACCAGTCATCCGTTACTGTAATCTTCGTATCACATCCAAGTCATCCGTTACTGTACTCTTCGTATCACATACCAGTCATCCGTTACTGTACTCTGCGTATCACATCCCAGTCATCCGTTACTGTACTCTTCGTATCACATACCAGTCATCCGTTACTGTACTCTTCGTGTCACATACCAGTCATCCGTTACTGTACTCTTCTTATCACATCCCAGTCATCCATTAGAGTACTCTTCGTATCACATCCCAGCCATCCGTTACTGTACTCTTCGTATCACATCCAAGTCATCCGTTACAGTAATCTTTGTATCACATCCCAGTCATCCGTTACTGTACTCTTCGTATCACATCCCAGTCATCCGTTACTGTAATCTTCGTATCACATACCAGTCACCCGTTACTGTACTCTTCGCATCACATACCAGTCATCCGTTACTGTAATCTTCGTATCACATCCCAGTCATCCGTTACTGTACTCTTCGTATCACATACCAGTCATCCGTTACTGTACTCTTCGTATCACATACCAGTCATCCGTTACTCTACACTTTGTAACACATACTAGTCATCCGTTACTGTATTCTTCGTATCACATCCCAGTCATCCGTTACTGTACTCTTCATATCACATCCCAGTCATCCGTTACTGTACTCTTCGCATCACATACCAGTCATCCGTTACTGTAATCTTCGTATCACATCCCAGTCATCCGTTACTGTACTCTTCGTATCACATACCAGTCATCCGTTACTGTACTCTTCGTATCACATACCAGTCATCCGTTACTCTACACTTTGTAACACATACTAGTCATCCGTTACTGTATTCTTCGTATCACATCCCAGTCATCCGTTACTGTATTCTTCGTATCACATCCCAGTCATCCGTTACTGTACTCTTCGTATGACATAACAGTCATCCGTTACTGTACTCTTCGTATCACATCCCAGTCATCCGTTACTGTACTCTTCGTATGACATAACAGTCATCCGTTACTGTACTCTTCGTATCACATCCCAGTCATCCGTTACTGTACTCTTCGTATCACATAACAGTCATCCGTTACTGTAATCTTCGTATCACATCCCAGTCATCCGTTACTGTAATCTTCGCATTACATCCCAGTCATCCGTTACTGTACTCTTCGTATGACATAACAGTCATCCGTTACTGTACTCTTCGTATCACATACTAGTCATCCGTTACTGTACACTTCCTATCAAATCCCAGTCATCCGTTACTGTACTCTTCGTATCACATACCAGTCATCCGTTACTGTACTCTTCGCATCACATACCAGTCATCCGTTACTGTAATCTTCGTATCATATCCCAGTCATCCGTTACAGTACTCTTCGCATCACATACCAGTCATCCGTTACTGAAATCTTCGTATCACATCCCAGTCATCCGTTACTGTACTCTTTGTATCACATCCAGGTCATCCGTTATTGTACCCTTCATATCAAATACCAGTCATCCGTAACTGTACTCTTCGCATCACATACCAGTCATCCGTTACTCTACACTTTGTAACACATACCAGTCATCCGTTACTGTACTCTTCGTATCACACACCAGTCATCCGTTACTGTACTCTTCGTATCACATACCAGTCATCCGTAACTGTACTCTTCGCATGACATCCCAGTCATCCGTTACTCTACACTTTGTAACACATACCAGTCATCCGTTACTGTACACTTCGAAACACATACCAGTGATCCATTCCAGTACACTTCGTAACACATACCAGTTACCCGTAACTATACACGTCGTTACATACCAGTGATTCATTCCAGTACACTTCGTTACACATACCAGTTACCCGTAACTGTAAACTTCGTTACACATACCAGTTACCCGTAACTGTACACTTCATAACACATACCAGTTACCCGTAACTGTACACTTCATAACACATACCAGTTACCCGTAACTGTACACTTCGTAACCCATACCAGTGATCCATTCCAGTACATTTCGTAACACATACCAGTTACCCGTAACTGTACACTTCGTAACACATACCAGTTACCCGTAACTGTACACTTCGTAACACATACCCGTTATCCGTTACTGTACATGTCTTAACACATGACAGTGATCCATTCCAGTACACTTCGTAACCCATACCAGTGATCCATTCCAGTACATTTCGTAACACATACCAGTTACCCGTAACTGTACACTTCGTAACACATACCAGTTACCCGTAACTGTACACTTCGTAACACATACCCGTTATCCGTTACTGTACATGTCTTAACACATGACAGTGATCCATTCCATTACACTTCGTAACACATACCAGTTACCCGTAACTGTACACTTCGTAACCCATACCAGTGATCCATTCCAGTACATTTCGTAACACATACCAGTTACCTGTAACTGTACACTTCGTAACACATACCAGTTATCCGTTACTGTACACTTCGTAACACATACCAGTTACCCGTTACTGTTCACTTCGTAACACATACCAGTTACCCGTAACTGTACACTTCGTAACACATACCAGTTACCCGTAACTGTACACTTCGTAACACATACCCGTTATCGGTTACTGTACATGTCTTAACACATACCAGTTACCCGTAACTGTACACTTCGTAACACATACCCGTTATCGGTTACTGTTCACGTCGTAACACATACCAGTTACCCATAACTGTACACTTCGTCACACATACCAGTTACCCGTAACTGTACACTTCGTCACACATACCAGTTACCCGTAACTGTACACTTCGTAACACATACCAGTTACCCGTAACTGTACACTTCGTAACACATACCAGTTACCCGTAACTGTACACTTCGTAACACATACCCGTTACCCATAACTGTACACTTCGTCACACATACCAGTTACCCGTAACTGTACACTTCGTAACACATACCAGTTACCCGTAACTGTACACTTCGTAACACATACCAGTTACCCGTAACTGTACACTTCGTCACACATACCAGTTACCCGTAACTGTACACTTCGTAACACATACCAGTTACCCGTAACTGTACACTTCGTAACACATACCCGTTACCCATAACTGTACACTTCGTCACACATACCAGTTACCCGTAACTGTACACTTCGTAACACATACCAGTTACCCGTAACTGTACACTTCGTAACACATACCAGTTACCCATAACTGTACACTTCGTCACACATACCAGTTACCCGTAACTGTACACTTCGTAACACATACCAGTTACCCGTAACTGTACACTTCGTAACACATACCCGTTATCGGTTACTGTACATGTCTTAACACATACCAGTTACCCGTAACTGTACACTTCGTCACACATACCAGTTACCCGTTACTGTTCACTTCGTCACACATACCAGTTACCCGTAACTGTACACTTCGTCACAC